TGCTGTCGACAAAAAACTAAAACTTCTGCTAGTGTTTTCTTCTTTTTTTTTTTTCTTGTGGATGTTTGTTTTGTAGGCCGTTTTACCAGGAATTCGGTGTCGCTTTCGAAACCTCCTCTAAAAATACGCACGAGACCTTCCGAACCGTGGCACCAATAATATTTATGTGTTTGTTGTTGCTTCTTCGCGCGATTGTTGTCTCCAAAAGGTAACGCCGTGAACGCTTAAGCCGACGAGCCAGAAAAGAAAGTAAGATCCCGTAGCCGAGTGAGTAAGTGAGTTAGAAGACTTTTATTAACCCTTCAGCTGAAAAAAGAAAAAAAAATCCGGTGTCCACTTGATAACAAGTTAGATGGGGAGGACTAGATCTGTTCGACGGGACATCCGTTTTGCTTTTTGGTTCTTTGCTGCTGGCTCACTTTCTACGGAGATAGCATGGTCACGCGCGATATATATTTTGTAACGAGCGAACAAACGATGAAAATAAAGCGTATATAATAATAACGATATTAACTGCGATGAGGGAATGTTTGAGACGGGGGATGACAGTCAAAGGGAGCAGATGTCTCGCTGTAGAACGACCCCGTGGATGTCCCTCTCTGACGCAAGTAGCGAAAGTTTTCGGATTTGTTGTTTCAAGGTCCCATAATACTAAAGGAACACACGACAAACATGTTTACTGCTCGCAAATGCCTTATTATTATTTTTTACCATTGCTCAAGTGTCACTGCCTACAAAAAGGAAACAAAAAAAAAGCAGCTAGTAAAGGTGTGATTCGTGTATGCTTTGACAGCGGCACGGCCTCCGAGATTCTTGGTGCGCAAAGCTCTCCCCCAAAATAACTCGAGGCTGTTCCCGCCGCATGGTGGTGTTAGGTACAGGGCCAACATTAGGGTGCCTCGATCACCCTAGGACAACGTCACAACCATCAAGCATGCTTGGCTAGCTGCCCGGATACGGTGTCTAGAAGGGGAGGTGACAGAATCGCGCAGCTTGCTTCCTTGTGCGGCGGAGCGCTAGTGTATTATGACGACGATAGGTGGCGCGTTTATCGGCTCCGAGACTCTGGCAGACATGCAAGAGCATTCAAGTATGCGCATCTACGCGTGTTACAAGACCGACATCGTCCCTATCCACTGGTGTGGAAATACGTTGGGAAGTCGACTCCTCGCCGAGGCCCGCGGTGATGCCTTGCATACCCGTCTGTACAGAAGATTTGACACCAACGTAACGGACAGGCTGTGGAGTGCATGCGGTGATGCGGATGAAACGGCACAACATTTGCTTTTCGAGTGTCCAGCACTGGAACCTGCAGCAGGCGTCGGTGCTCGCATCCTAGCAAGGTCTTGGATTGACAGAAGATACCAAGTTTGTGACGTGCATGAAGTGGAGGCTTGCTTGGTGGGCGGTCCACTTGTGAAACTCAAGGAATAGCAATACTTCGTTTTTTTTTTTTTTTGCTGTTTTTTTTTTTTTTTTCGTTTGCGTGTTTATTTTATAGACGCTCGTTGCAAAGAGCAAGCACCGCATAAATACATGCATACACTTTGTCCCCGGATGTACTATCGGGGAAAAATGAAATGCGAACAGAGGAGCGCGTGGCTCGCGGTACAGGCTGCGCCGCCTGGAAGTGAGCCTAGGAGCGAGGGTGCGCGGCCTACTCCGACGTGTTCACGCCCCTCCCTCTGCGCTCTCCTAGCTTCAGCAGTGCGCCTCTTAGTGCGCTGAAAGCTTTCCCCGCTATCTTTGCTGGCTCAGCGCGTGCGGTGCAAAGAAGCTCGCCGCACTCGCCGGGCAGGCAAAGATAGCGGTGACAGCTTTCAGCGCACTGAGAGGCGCACTGCCGAATCTGGGGGAGCGCCAATCGAGAGGCATGAACACATCGAAGTAGGCCACGCACCCTCGCCCCTAGGCTCACTTCCAGGCGGCGCAGCCTGTACCGCGAGCCACGCGCTCCTCTGTTCGCATTTCATTTTTCCCCGATAGTACCAAAGGGTACGTTTCTGCGATAAAAAAAGAAACCTTCCTAGTAAAACATATAAAATAGCGCAACAGAAACAAGGACAAGAAGTAAACAGGACAGGCGCTAACTTTCAACTAGTTTTATTCTGGAAAATCGAACACATATATACACACGACAGGCAAAGCAGCACCACGTAAAAGTTGATTAATTTTTCACCCGATCACTCAAAAACTGAAATTCATTACAATGAAGAACAATAGAAGTGTCGCTGACACATGCCGTCCCACTTTTTTTGATAAAGAAAGCTTCCAATAGCTCTCGAGCGACCGTCTCTCGGCTTCTTCCTAGTATCCGCATCTGCTGAAGTCGCGGAACACAGCCACACGTGTTGCAATGTATAGGCAAATGCGAGCCATATTTATTTTTTACTGATAATGCGTGCTCCCGTGCTCGGTCATTGATGCACCGCCCCGTCTTGGCCAATGTATACCTTTCCACAACTCAGGGGGATTTCGTAGACCACACCCACTGTGCAGTCCACGTAAGGGGTGACGTGTTTTTTGTCACAGAGTGGGTGTGGTCTACGAAATCCCCCTGAGTTGTGGAAAGGTATACATTGGCCAGACGGGGCGGTGCATCAATGACCGAGCACGGGAGCACGCATTATCAGTAAAAAATAAATATGGCTCGCATTTGCCTATACATTGCAACACGTGTGGCTGTGTTCCGCGACTTCAGCAGATGCGGATACTAGGAAGAAGCCGAGAGACGGTCGCTCGAGAGCTATTGGAAGCTTTCTTTATCAAAAAAAGTGGGACGGCATGTGTCAGCGACACTTCTATTGTTCTTCATTGTAATGAAGTTCAGTTTTTGAATGATCGGGTGAAAAATTAATCAACTTTTACGTGGTGCTGCTTTGCCTGTCGTGTGTATATATGTGTTCGATTTTCCAGAATAAAACTAGTTGAAAGTTAGCGCCTGTCCTGTTTACTTCTTGTCCTTGTTTCTGTTGCGCTATTTTATATGTTTTACTAAGATGAACCAACTAGCCCAACAACGTACCTTAAGAAACCTTCCTCTTCGCCGTTTTCGACGATGACGACAAAAAGCGTAGGAAGGTTTTTTTTTCTTGTGTCACGTGGACCACAGGTTCGAAATGAGCATAATTTACCTTCCAAAGGCATTTTAAGGAGCGCATATCGCCCGCGATATTTGTTCGCGGAGCGAGAAAGCACCCGAGTCGCAGCGGACGACGGATCTCAGTGCCGACAGCAGCGCCACCGCTGCATCCGGACCTTCTGATGCTTCTCTCGCGCGCAGATTCTGACACCTTATAGTCACCGTAACCCGGATAATACACATTAATTTTTTAAAAAAACAATCTAAGCTAATTTTTTTTTTTTTTTGAAAGATGCAGAATAAATGCACGCCTCATTGTTTGTATTCAGAGAAACTGCGCGTTCAATCATTTGGCAAAACAAAAATAGTGGCCAGTCAATGACGAGTCTTAAAGTTTCTAACCGAAAAAGATTTTTTTCTGCACAACTGAACAGTAGAATGAAATAAAAAAAATTATGCTTTAATAAATAAAATAAATCAAATTTATTTGATTTAGATCACTCTCGTTATAAAATAGCGGTATCGGTTCTAGGTGGCAGTAGAGAGTTTTAGTAGATCGTTCCGATACCTCCGATAGCCCCGATAACGATACTATGCATGCGCAAGGGAGGCGGTGGCGGTGTATCGGGTATCGTTATCGGAGTCATGGGAACGATCTACTAAAACTCTCTATTAGGAAGTTTTAGTAGATCGTTTTTTCAGACCACGGTATTCGTAGCGGGAGCTCGCACTGCCACTTCGATGCATGCTCTGAAGCGCGCGCCCGAAGCGCGGTAGCGGGTCTATGAAAACCAATGAAAACGACCTACTAAAACTAGAGCCACTGTATATGACAGCGTAGCTACCACATACAGTGGCTCTAACTAAAACACCCTATAGGAAGTGTTCACTGGCGGCCATAGCTGTGTGCACGACTGCTGAGCGCGTGCTGAAGCCGAGTTTCCACAGTTCTTTTGTAACGTGCATTCCGCAACCTCAAGATTGCCGGTCTTAGCAGCCTATTAATGTGGGTTCGTTCAGAGCATGCGCTCTAGACATCACCCACAAATATGGCGCCCTGTGAATACTCCTTATTGATTGAACCCGGATCCCTGGGTTCTGCAGCGCGAGCTTTCGCTCCACGTGCTGCGAGCTGCCAGCCTTTCTGGTTTTCTTTGTCATCCTCCAAAACAGGAATCAACATCGCCGCTTACACAGACCACCAACGCAACCGAACGCAACCAAACGCAACCGTGGAACGATAGGCCTCGTCAGCTTCGAAGAGCGTGCACATCGCTAGGCTGTCAAGGCGGCTAAGCACACGCCCGTCATTCTCCAAAAGAGTACAGTGGAAGGACATTGCCGGTATCCTGTCTGTGCATATCCCGATACCAAGTAAGCAAATCCCATTATTCCGCAAGGCAGAAAAAAAACAAACAAACAAACAAACATATAACCCCAGTTCTGAAACGGCGTATCTGGCGTGCCCTTTTATATCAACCGACGTTCCCTTTGTTTTTAGGAATTCGGAATAGGAAGCAGACAACGGGACATCGACCCTTGTTCATAAATAAATTCAGCCATCATACATCACCACTGACCCGGACCTAAGGACAAGAAATTTCATCGGTTCTCTACTCACAAGAAGACATCCTTATTGTCCAGCCAAGAACCATATGACGCTATTCTTATCCAAGTAAGAACACGTGATCAGGGACGTCGTCATCCCAGCCCTGCGCAGCGACGCGAAGGACGTCGTCGCCGCCCTGGTCAGTGCAGTCAGCCAGCAAGGACAACGGCGTACTTCCCGTGTCCTACGGAGGAGGGAGCCCTCCAGAAACAGCACAGGGACCCGGTGTCCTCGGCGTCGACATCACCAGAAAGAAGCGACAAGGGTATCCTTTCCGAAGCGTCCACCGTGGCCGAAAATCCTCGCGTGATGTCCCGGGCGTCATGGATGCCCCGGTGGCCATGCGTGGTGTTCGTGTCCTGCCTCAACGTTGTCCTGGCCGTCCTGCTGGTCTTGTCTTGCAAACTTGGCTACGACCGGGCACGCCTTCCGAACCTCAGTCTCACCCTCGTGCATCTGGCAGCCACAATGGTCGCCCTCAGGTTGGTTCCCTAAGTCTCGAAGAGATCCCAGATACTCAATGTCAACCAGAACCCTATTGATTTAATTGAACCTTCAGTAGAGGAATCGATTAATATGTAAAGATCTTCCTACATTTCATGGAATGTTGAGTAGATTAATAGATCTAGTACGTAAATGGATGGATGGTAGTTGGGTTTTAGGTGTGATGGAACTTCCGTAGATGAGTTGATGGATGTAGGGACTTCACGTCTGATGCAATTTCATGAAGATGGATTGATGGCAGTGGCTTTAGGTGTGATGATGATGCGAATTCGGTTTCCGGTTCGTGTAGGGTGTGTGTGAGCACGGGTCTGCTACGGGTTCCAGACTCGGCGTACAAGGCCGGGCCGAGCTTGGGAGAGAACCTGACCTTGGCTCTGCTCCTTTGCACCTTCATGGCACTGCCCAATCTATCGCTTGAGTTCAACTCGGCCGGTACTAGCCTCCTCCTCAGGTACGTCTCTGGTTTCTTAAACGTACGATACAGACTTCATTAGCCTAAAAATAGCGATCGTTGGTCGACATGCGTCGCGCAATTCTACGCACCTCCAATTACTCCGCTAAGTTATCAAACCTAAAGAACTCAGAAGATTTTTTACCAGGATTTTTTATCGGGAAATTAATTCGAGAAGCTCAGATTTTGATACACACATTTTCGTTTCGTCATACGACGAAACCCATGACGAAACAAGATACTACAGCCACTAATCGTGACGTCACGTCTTTCTCGGTTCCCTTCTTTTCCAACATCGAGACGCCCTCCCGAAACACTTGAGATGTATGTCGGATAAAAACCGTCAGATTTCTTGACGACCGGCTGCGAGAGTGTCATAACAATGCGAGCGAGACTGTCTCTGGCCGTCTAGGGACTCGCTGCCGAGCCTGTGGTTGTGATCCCCAGTTCACAAAATGGACCGTATTGGCGCGGAGTGGCGACCCTTTCATTAGATATATTATTGAGGCACAGAAGATCGCGCGACTCGATGACAAGTGTATCAGCACCCCTTCCTTTTTTTTTTTAATACGAGAAAAAGAATCATACTACTCGGAAAAGGGGTCATAGTAATGAGCGTAAATTTCCAAAATGGTTTTTCGTTCTCTTCTTTTTTTTTTGCTTTGGGTACCGTGGTCTTGCTTTTTGCAAAGAAGTAGAAGAAAAATGAATTGTAAGTCAGCGCTGTGCTTGTCCTTCTGTGTCGTTTCCTTTTTGTCTTTGTGCGGTTGTTGCTAATATGAACCCGAGATGGCGTTGAGCGACGTGACCGACACGATGACAACAGGCGGGTCCGAGGAGGGCCAAGGAAGAGCCATAAGGAGACGGGGTTCTGATCGTGTTACGTCACGGCTCGCTTATCGAGTGAATTGCAGTACGAGAATTTCCAGAGGCGTTTTATATGCTTTGTTGTTAAAATCGCGAGCTGAAGTTTCGTAGACCCTTCTGTACAGCCCCTTTAAAGGGGCTGTACAGCGATATTAAAGTTGATTTTTAACCTATGTGCCTTGGCTTAAGTCACATAAAACACCCTACCTTCCTCGGAAATATTGCGATTCCACTTAGTAATTGGACATTCTAAAACTGTCTTTCTACCGGCCTGCACCGCACGGCGGTGGCCATCGGAACCACAGGGAGCGACCAGCGTGACGTTCGCGTGACGAAAGGGAAATCGTGTAAAACATTGGCAAGTTGTGCAATTACTTGCTAAACATAGGACTTATCTTCAGAAACCTTGTCGTGTCGACATACACAAGAGTTTCGAAAGCCTCGTACCATCCACAAAATTGTATTACCCGGAGTTTTAGTGGTGCCATCTACCGGAGGTGAACAAAGCCACCTCTGCTCTGCGGCTGTGCCCACGGTGCGTAAAACGAGCAAAGGAGATGTCTCCCCTTTCGTTGCTTTTGTTTTCCAGCCTTTAGTTTGACCGCGTTCGACGCCTGCGAACGTCGGCAATGCCTACCGGGTGCGGTGTTCCGTTGTGTCCGAACCGTTCTCCGGGAAGCGGTATCACATTTGACCCCGTGATCAGCTTCCCCGAGCTGAGTCGTGTCGAAGGGTCAGCAGAGAGTACCCCGGACAGGTAGAGCTCCGCGTCTGCTGAGATCACTTCGACGGCAATCGCAACGCATAGGAAGTGTGCTTCGCGATGCCGGGCAGACCATGAAAGATGCCCGTCCGAGGCTTGAGGCCGGTTCATCGCTTCGTTTGCCTCTTGCCGAGTCGTCGCGCTCATCGACGCCGCGCTCCCGTTTCGTCGGGGTGCTCGAGTAGGGAACGAGTCCAGCGGACTCGCTATAAACGAGCACCTAACGTTCGATCTCGCTTAACCCATCCATCCAATGCGCCATCTTGGTCACCAGAGGTTCAAAGGGAAGGAAGGGAAAAGGGCTCGCTCTCGCTGCAGCGGAACCGGCGAAACTCCCCACGAAACCGAAAACCTGCCTCCCCCAGAGAGGTGGCAGGGACAACACCTATCGAACTGAAGTCCGAAAATTGTTGCACAGCCCCCTAATGGACTGCGGTTACTCCCAGTCAAGAAGTTTATCGTCAGATTATTTGATAACACAAAGATGCTTCTTCCAGTCCCTTTACTACTAGGTGACGCGTCTAGAAAGAGGGGCAGACTGGCGTCACGTGGAAGCCACCTCTAAGGAGCGAGATACATAAATGAGCCGAGTTTGAGACGCTTCCCCTCCTGGATCTTTTTCTTCGACTTCGAAAGTCTTCTCGTTGTCTCCCTCGCCACAGCCCCGGGTGTTACACAACACCATGAGTTACTTAAGGGCGATTCACACAGTTGCGTCGAGTCCGACCGAGTGCAACTGCGGTGGCTTGCGACGTGCGGGTTGCTATGGCAACACCAGCGTCGGCTACAACAACGCCGCATTTTAGGACGCTTTGTGCGAGCCGACGCAGTTGTTGCCAAAGCAACCCATCATCGCAAGCCGTTGCAGTTGCACTCGATCGGACTTGCGTTTGCTGACGACCGACGCCTTGTGGCAACGTTACTCAAACACTCAGTTGGGAAACTCGCCGTCGAAACCTGGGCCGCTGGCGTCCACCGAGACCGAGCTAAATTAGAGTTCCTGAATAGGCTCCCTACGGGAACTCTATACAGCTATACAGGAACTCTAAGCTAAATGCGACAACAGCGCCACTCTTTTTTCGTTTGTCTGTACTATGGTCACCTCGAGCTTTTTGAAAGCCTGTTTTTGCGTAAAAACAAACGGAAAAGACTCTTTTTGTATGAAATTCATTGGAGTTTAGTACCAAATGATGGGCGCGTGATGTTTTTGTCATCTTTAGTTCGCAAGGTTTTGCGGAACAATTAATATTGTTTTCATACAACCATGCCTCAGCGGGCCTTTCAGGTAGCACGTCCCGACCTAGGTGCATTTTAACTTCGGTAGTTCAACGCGGCGCGTCCGCCGGGGAGACGGGGTGGCACCCCTGTAACCTCTACCGCCGTATCAGTTCTTAAAGCCGAATCAGAAGTCACGTGCAGTTCTTCGAGTGGCCGCTGCGGGAGAAATGGTGGCGTTGTGTTCGTCATTAGCTCGGTGCTCGGAGACAGATTGGGGCCACTTTTTCAAAGCTGTCTCTATGGGAGTTTCCCAACTGAGTGTTTTAGTAACGTTGCCTTGTGATATCTAACGACGAGAAAACACACTGGCACGCTGGCGCCATCTGTGAAGTGACCGGGGAACTGCGGGAGGCGCTCACTTGATCGAATGACGTTTTAGCGAACGCCCACGTTTCACCGAATGACGCTTTAGCGAATAGTCGGACGCCGCGAAGCGGCGTTTTCGAGTGGGCCAAATGGGTTAACATTTTTGTAATGAGCTGGCGCAGACTGTCGCCGCGAAGAGCGCGGCGGATAGGTTAACGTGCGCCCCCGTTATTCGCCAAAAAGTCGATTCGCTCAAATGTCGCTGTTCGCTAAAACGTCATTCGCTCATGTGATATGGACCCGTTTATACATTGTCGAAAGTTTTTTCAGGCCAGTAACGAAAAGAATGATGGGCGAAAGAAAGAAAAACAGGAAATACACCAAAATCCCTTTCCGAAACGACTCTTGCCTGCGCGTGGACATAGGCTGGTGTCCCTTCCGGCCACTGCCTGGCTCCAGTGGATGCTCACGGGCCGTCGGACACGGACAACGGTCAAGTTGAGCCTGGTTCCGGTCGGGGCGGGCGTGGCCCTCAACGCCCTCGGGGACGTCCGCTACAGCGGGCCCGGGCTTGCCTTCGGACTCTCGGGCGCCATGGCCGCAGCCTGCTACCAGGTGGGGCCCTCTTCGCAGCGTCCCTAGCAGTCAAAGCATGGCAGTTCGACGACGGAGCCATAGAGTGCCCGGTTGCAGATTTGGAGCGCGTCCATCTGGTAGCACAGAGCTCAAAACGTCATTTCTCGGGGAACCTGGACGTCAGCGCACAGCTTTTGCAGCGGCGACGACCCAAACACACTTGTTGGCTCGGGAGAAGTGTGTTTCGGCGTCTCGTCGCAGCGGGGCGCCAGTCACGTGGCTCTCCTCTCATCCGTTGTCTGCCGGTCCACCTTTTCCACTTCGGCGGCCGCTCCTCTGGCGATCTGACAGGCTTGGTCACTATAGAGAAGGCTCTGGTACCACGTCACGAAATGGTGACGTCATCCGTGGCAGTTAGGCTTACGGCGTCCGCGATTGCCTTGTTGCGCGCTGCCGTCTTTGTCTACTGGGTTGCAAAATGCGTTTGGCACGTCCGCAGTAGATATCTTCTATGGAATATCAGATGCCGCACGTGTGTTCAAAGTCGGTGACTCAGCATTTTCTTTTGCCCGAGTTAAGCGATGGAATCGATGCGCAGACGTTGTCCGCCGACCAGCAGAGTCGCTTCGACCGGCCGTCCTGGCACCTGCTGCAGAGCCAGCTGCGCTGGGCCCTGCCGGCCCTTGCCAGTCAGGTGGTCTTCCTCGAGCCCCCCTGGCGGGGACCCCGGGGCCTCCTGGCGAGGACGTGGACCCCGCTCGACGGAGTCCTCTTCGCTGGTTCCACGGCGGTGGGGGTCCTGCTCACGCTGAGCATGCAGTGGCTGCTGGGCCGCACCTCGGCGCTCAGCTACCAGGTGCTGGGACACGTCAAGACGTGCGCCTCGCTGGTCGCCTGTGCGCTCCTGCTAGACCAGCCGCTGGCGTGAGTCCCAGGATGGGTGGAGGGACGCGGATGGCTAGACCCTTTAAATCGGGCGGCGGATAGTGCCACCTAGTGAGTGTTCCAACACAGAATGTGCTAGGGTTGGGATCCCAGTGAAAAGTGTGATGGAACGTCACAAAAAGGTCGTGACAAAAAATAAATAAAAGTAAACCGTCACACATCCGCCAAGTTTAGAGGATTTATGCCCCGCCAAATTTAATTGGTCATACGTCCGCCAAATTGAGCGGAAGTTAACACAATTCCAAAGCTAAACGAAAAAAAAAAAAAACTTGTAAACGCTTAGACTTAGCGCAGCCCTTCATCGGGCGCTGAAAGGCGGAGAATGATTCGTCCGGCTAGCGGGTATACGTTTCTATACTGCCCTGTTTGGGGAACATAGTTGAGCAGATTGCTTTTGCACTATATACGCAATAACGAGTCCAGGTCGTTAAATTTGCGAAATATCTGCTTCACAGAAGTACAATTGGTGACAGAAAATATTTTTTTTTCCTCCAGGGAGGCAACGTTTATCAGACCGGAACATTCTTAAAACGACGCTTTGAAACGTTTTTAAGACGCTGGCACAAGGGCGCCATCTACAGTAGTGTTTCCCCTGTTTGAACACTCCGTTTCTTATTAGAGAAGCTTTTAAGGGCTAGTTTCCCAAGTTTCGTGTCCGGTACCAAACAAATGTCGACACAAAACTACACAAAACTCTGGACAGCTAACGCCATCTATGAGCGACGGCGGAAACCAGACGACCAGTCTGGTTGCCGCCGTCACTCATAGATGGCGGCAACCTTTCCAGCTATCTAGAGTTCCTGTATAGGCTCCCTACGGGAGCCAGAGTTGCGCGTTCATGCATGGCATGTAGATACAGCTCCTCAGGTGACTGAATTCGGCGAATAGCAGCGCCGCGCGTTCGAGGCGCGCGGCGGGCTCAAAAGCCGGGGAACGTACGCCGGGGCGCGTGCAACGTCTACTTTGCTGCACGACACTTGATACGGCTCCTCACGTGATCGGATCTCGGCGAATAGCGGCGAGGGCGGCACGAGGCACGTGGAATCAAATGCGCAACTCTGGCTCCCACACCGCTCATTCACACTGGAGGCGGATCCGCGTTCGCAAAGCGGTTGCGAACGCGGTTGTATAAAGGTCCAGTACCATTGCACGCGTACTCGATGACATCAAGTGCGCGTGCAATTGTACTGGATCTTTATACAACCGCGTTCACAACCGCTTTGCGAACGCGGATCCGCTTCCAGTGTGAATGAGCGGGTAGGGAGCCTATACAGGAACTCTACAACTATCATAGAAGAATGGATAGTTGGGCGAGTTGGTGGGAATTCTTCGTAGGAAACAGCGCGCAAAACAGACGAGGACGAAGGAGAAACACAAGGGGCGAGCGTACAGCTTCGCTGGTCTTCCTTCTTCACCAGAATGGAGAGGTTGAAAGTTTTTTTTTTTTTTTTCTATTTGATTATACGACATGCAAGTTGGTCTGCTCTTTGAGCACTTCCTGCGTGTTGCCCCCCCCCCCCCCCCCCCCTCCCCGGCCTCAACCAATGGCGGCGCGCACTAGGCTGCCTCGTCGACCCACGCTCCCTGGGCGTTCTCTATGTTGCCCTTTGATCGGCGTGCCCCTCCTTTGGGTTCCGATACCCCAAAGACGCACTTTTGGAACACTCGCTGGGCGTATATATCCCGCTGTAAACAACCATCTGCAACTCGCGGTACCTGGGCTAGACTAATCGATTTCGGCGGACAATATACACGACTATATACCGTTCATTATTTTTTGTCCTCGAAATCTAAAGACCTTTTTGTTCACGCGCCACCGACAGGTGGCTGCAGCAGCTCAGCGTGGTCCTGACGCTGTGCGGAGCCTTCCTGTACACCATATTCAGGACCAGGGAAGAAGAGAGACCGGAAGGGCCGTCGTCGCCCCTCGGTTACCGAGACGCCGCTGCCTTTTCATCGTGATTTCTTCCCGCGCCACTGTCAATCATCTGAGGGCTTTTGTCTAACCTCGACTCCTTAAACAGTGTTGCCAGACTCCCACGAATTTTCTTTTGCGTGTTATATTTGAGGAAAAGTAATTATTGCAATTCGTTATTGCGCAATAAACATTTCATGATTTAGTTAGCTTCGACAATACATCTTGCAGTGTTTACGGGTCAGCACCATTATGACCATTATTATTAAAATATTACTATTGTTGTTGTTATGCGAAACAATACAGTAGTAGTAGTAGTAGGCAACCTTTAATTGCGTCCAGAAAGACTAAGCGATTGGTCGCAGACCCATCGAGGAATCCCCTCCCAATCACCCCTCAGGCGACGGCCAGAATCCCTTGGACTCCAGCGGCGTTGCGTTTTTGCTGCATTGTGTCGAATCCGCACGGCGTAAAGGAGAGTACGGGGACCGCGATCTCTCGCCGCCACGCCGGCACCACCACAAAACACGTTCACGGCCACTCGCGCGTACACACACAGGCGGGACGCTCGTCTTCGACAACGATACCACCATATAGACCTGCGGCTGAGCTATCTTTACCGACGCCAGCAGCGAAAAGGAAAGAAACACACACGGGGGGCCGCCCGCCCACTTTCTCCATTCAAGCAGCGGCCCCGCAGCAAGCAAGACGACGCGCCAGCAACAAGAGGTGTTGGTGGCCAACAAAACTGCTCACCCCTAAGCCGACAGTGCGCTAGAAGCGGCCTGCTCTTCAGGGCCAATCATACGCCCGTCTTCGGTCACGTGATCCCGCGGTCCCACCGACACCGATGACGGGCAGCGAACGGGGTCGGGTGACGGAAGGCGGTCGGTTGATCGGTCAGGCGAGGGCGTATAGTTGCCCATCGCAGCGTCAGTCTAGGGGGGGTGAAGGAAGCATAACGCAGCGTCCATATTTTCGGGGGTCGATGACCCCTCCGCCGCCGCCGCGCCAAACGATCTTCTCGAGGGAGTGAAAAAAAGTAACAACAACGTGGGCTCGATGAACAACGAGAGAACCGTTGTAGCTCCAAACAGAGGCGGCTATGCTTTCCCTCTCAGTGTCTGCCTTTGTTCGTGCAAATGCGGCGTTGTAGACACGGCGGCGCGTGCATCAGCCTGCAAACCTAAACACAAAACTGCCGGAAAACTTTTTTTTTTTTTTTCAGGCTTAAGTTTGATTGTTTTGGCGAACCTTCGACCTTTTAGCGAAATTCGACCAAGTTTGACTCCTGGACAGTGTTCTACATTCCTACTTCTATATAAACATTTGTCGACACCAAACTCTGGACAGCTACCACCATCTGCGAGCAACGAAGGCAACCAGGCAACCAGCTTGCCGGTTGTCTGGTTGCCCCTGTCTCTCATAGATGGCGGCAACCTTTCCAGACTTTCCACTCTGGCTTGCCGAACTGCGGCCGCCCATTACTTCATTCCCACCATAGTAAAGATTCGCTGGTCTTCTTTATCAGATTAAAAAAGCTGAAAGTTTTTCTTTAATTGTTCGTTTGGGCCGCTAACTAAGAGGAAAGCAATACCAGAAAAAGCCGCAAAGCGACGTGTGTACTTTTATTGGTTTCGCGGTTTTATTAATGTGAAACAACGAAACAACATACCCAACGAATATTGCACTTTTCCCCTGCCAAATAACAACCGCTCCTTTTCTTTTTTTTTTTTTTTTTTTTTTTTTTTTTGCGGGTTTATCATAATGTTTATGTTTAGTCTAACTCTTATCGAAATTTGTGTTCGAAGTTTCGAAAAAAGTAGAACTTTGATCAAACTCGAACTTTGGCTTACTCGCGACATCCCCACGTGTAGAAATAGAAATTCCCACAATGCCCTCTTTCGTTTCCTTTGTTTGTTTGTTGTTTGTTTTTCCTTGGCGTTCGCGATCGCCTTGCGAGCTGTTCGACGCGACGCGTTTCCTCAATTTGTGCCGCCTTGTTGTGGCCCATAGGTCCAATACGCGAGCACGACAAACACCCAATTCTGTCCGGCCAGACCTAACAAAAGCAGGCTTTGTTCGGCTGGACAACTTTCCCTGGCAGTTCGGGGAAAATGAAAGATCGTGCGGGCGTTGTGCTTTGCCTGCGTTGTGTCAGGAAGTTGGTCGTAGGTATACAAATCACTGTTCCAAAGCATTTTTTTTTTTACAAATTGTAACAAGGTGTGTCGGACATGTCCGACGTGCGCAATTGCGTTTTGTTGCATGTTAGTATAGTTGGACCTTGTCGCAATGTGCACCTCGTTTTATTCATTTATTTTATAGAGAAGGGCATAACGTGGAACTATGGAGCGATTCTTTTTCCAAAAGACCATTCGTACTACCAGAGCAACAGCTAAGCGCTCCATGTACCACTACAATGACTATTCCTCCTAATATAAATAGTAATGTGAATAACCGCTTCCCAACGCCAACAATGGTGCTACCTCCAGCTTTAGTGCATAAATAAAGACCGCTTTACTCCCTTTCCAAATCCACGAACTTGCGCGTGCTGGGCTGTGGGCACATACGCTCGCGAATTTGTCATTCATAACTGCGTGATGCCGCCAGCGTGTGATGTCACACGCCGAGTTCCAGACATTGTTATGGGCGACGTGCGCGACCGAAAGCGTCGCTGTGGTCGGCCTTCCACGATTGGCCGAAAGCTGACTATGACGTCGGAAAGGGGATTTATCATCGACGGAAATAAGGGGAATGAAAGAACTTTAATTTTGACGGTGTTGGCAGTGTTCCTTTGAGAGCGCAATGATTTCAAGCTTGCACCATGCTAATAACAAACACCATCGAACTTGTTGTTTGCAAGGTAATGACGTCACAAGGGGGAACCATACGAGGGCGCCACCAAAACATCTCGCCGCTAATACTCTAAAAAAAAAAAAAAAGCAATCGAGTACAATTACTCTCGGTTGTAAAGAATTCAAGTAGATCGTTATAAAACCTGAGACGAAAAGTAATTGGTCGTTACACGAAAGAGCAACCATTACTTTCCCGATGTCTTCAAATTTTCAAAAAGATTTTTTTTTGCCGGTTTAAAAACCGGTTTTTCGTACCGTCCATTAGGGAGTTTTATATAGGGAACCGTTTTTGCACATCCGATACCATACGAGGGGCCCTCCGGTCCGAACTGCGGATGCGCTGCCGCAGAAGACTCGCGCATGCGCAATTCGTGCTGGAGGGCCCATCGCACCCTATCGGATGTGCAAAAACGGTTCCCTAAAACTCCCTACTACTATCGCACCACGTAAAATCTACGGGGAAGAATTGTTCCGAGGAACTCGCGCACGAGATTTCACGTCCGGTAGCAGTCAAGGTTAGGCGTCCAGGAAGTAAAACATAGAAACAGCGAAAAAAAATAACAATAAAGCACTCCTTACAGTTGCGGACGATATAAAACAGCCAAAGCGAGCTCTTGGCTACGGGAAGACCTCCAATGCTGTCTAACAGGGGAAAAAAAAAAAAAAAAATAAGACGCTGAGTTACGCAAAAGCCGGCGGCGAAGTATCGGAGTCAACGGAACGATCTACTAAAACTTCCTATCATCGAGGATATTTTTTCAACGAACAGCATTTCAGCGGTTGTTCGACTCTTGTTCTCTCTCCCCCACTCGATAATAATAAAACTCAAAGCAAAAAGCAAAAAAAAAAAAAAAAAACACGTTTATTGGTTTTTATTTTTCGTACTTACTACCAAACGCCCGAAACTGACTTCCTTCTTCGACGTGCCGACCAGGTGGATTCAGCCCAGGCTTGTACGTGACTTAGATACTCTATACTCGAATTCCCGTATCTTAAATACTTTTGTGAGTAGCTCGCTATTTTACAAATACGTTAGAAGGTGAGTACTCAGTATCCTAACTTAAATACCCTTTTTTTGACAGTAAACTGTACTTACTTCCTCAGTTACTCGCAAGTTACTGCTCAATTTGTTGACTACGCGCGAGTGACTTCACTTCCCAGTCTTTGTGGAGCGCCTGTTTAGGGTCAAGTTGTCGGACGCAAATTTCAAGAATCAGCTGTTTCTGCGAGCCAATAAAGCGTTTGGGTAATGGCGTTTTTTTTTTTTTTTTTTTTGCAATATCCGTTTTCTTTAGTTAGTTGTTTACAGTACGTAGCATAATAAATTGTAACTTTATTAGGGAAATCTTGAAGGTATCGAGTTACTATTTCCGTGTATTTGGTACGGGCAGTGTCACGTCGCAGCATCGAGCAAGGCCTTATACTACGGCACCTGCAACGCGTTTCCAAAGACTGATCTGTTTAGCGTCCCCTTCCGCCCGTGCGTCGTGTGGGCCCGAAGTGGTAGCAAATGACGTCACAAAAGTCAGGGTGTCGATAGCTGTCGGATGCCGCGATCCTAGCGGTTGGTCGTAGAAGTGCTGGCAAAAAAAGCACGAGCAATCGTAATTAAGTGGCACTGTCGTCGCGGCGTAGCCTCATGGATAGAACGATACTTACGTTCCCTACAATGTTACAGTTAGACGCGAAAAAAAGCCAACCTTGTTAGTTACAAAATTCTAACAAATACCACGCTTAGCTAATAAAAAAAAAAAAGTTACTTTGTCATTTTTTTTTGTTACTTCACAAAAAAAGAAGGTTGGAAAACATTAATGTACCTTCAAAAAGTGGTATAGGTTTCTTCATCAAAACATTGTTTTTCAGGCGGGACATTAGTCCATGAAACTTAGCTGATGACGACAGTGTACGGCTACGCGACGGCTACACAGGCACCAACCTCGCTACCGTTAAAATGCGCTCTGCATTAAACAAAAAGCCGACAACGTGTATCGGTGCAGCGTCCATATAACTAAAGAGCGGCCCGCGGCTGCGAGCCCTCTAATGACAGCGAAGGCCCATCGAGAAGCTCGAGACAGGTTTGCGGCCGGGCTGGCCTTGATCCCCGCCGACGTGCCGGCTCTGGCCATGCTGCGCGATGGGGGTTCGGAAGAAACGAGCAGCCCATTACAGGCGCCTTGCCTTTGTTCTGC